ATTACTCTGGTCATTGAAGCATAAAGTGGAATAATCCATATTATAATCAAGGCTGTCACTGTGCATTACCAGCAAATTGTGAATCTAGGTTCATCCACCCACAAATATAAATGGATTTTTTTCCTCATACCAGGATCTTATTAACATGCAAAACCCTTGACTTTTAGCCCAATAAAAACAAACAACCAGAAACAGTCAACCCTGACCATAGAACAGAATCATAGAATGGTCTGGGTTGGAAAGGACCTTAAGCTCATTCAGTTCCAACCCCCTCTGCCATTGGCAGAGACACCTTCCACTAGAGCAGGTTGCTCAAAGTCCCATCCAACCTGACCTTGAACACTTCCAGGGATGGGGCAGCCACAGCTTCTCCGGGCAACCTGTGCCAGTGCCTCACCACCCTCACAATAAAGAATTTATTCCCTGTATCTAATCTAAATCTCCCCTGTTTAAAATCTTCATATGGGAGGTGTTCCAGCCCTCTAAGCATCCTTGTGGCCCTATTGTATCTCATCTATCAAGTGGGTAGTCTTCAGCTGTTTAACAGTGTAGTAATTAATTATACAAAAATCTATGATGAAGCTGGGAAAGATCTGGGGCTTCAGAATATCTGTGCACATTTTGGTTCACGTGTAAAACATTTGCATACTTAAGGATATTTAACTGACTGGTTCTACATAATCAGCAGGTTCAAGAGCATGTTTAAAGAGGAACAGCTATAATCACCTTCTAGTAACAGCTGACAAAATGAAAACTTTTGGGGGAGTCTTCTTTTCATTATTATTTTTATGCTAGTAGCTATCCTGAGAGACCTGAATCTAGTTTTGCCATGCTGTATGTTTACTAAATAGCTATTTTTTCCTTTTATTATTTCTGTAATTACTGCCTCTCCTCCAATCCCTTAAAAGAATTATTCACTAACACATATGATCCTTTATTTTCAATTCTGTACTCATCTGGAGTACTCTGGTTTGTACTCTTTTTTTTGTTGTTGATTCAAACACTTCTGCAGCAGCCTTTACACTGAACTTGAGAACCACAGATCTCCTTATAGCCATTCCTTAATTTACCTTCATTTACAGTAACATGAAAGGAACAAATTGGGCCTTGACTTCAGGGCCCCTAACTATTTTCCAAAACAGTTTTGTGGTACACTGCTATAACAGTCTCAAGCACGTTTGGAAACAACCTCCAATCATGGCTGGTTTGTTCGAGAATGCTGAAACTAGTCTGGCTAGAATATTTTTATTCTTACATTCTGTGTTATTTTGGGGGTTTCCCCCATCAGTTATAAACACGAATAAAATTTAAACAACCTGTTTTACTTAAATATCCTGTGTATTATTTAAAGTTTTACAAAGCAATTACATACTGAAAAGAAAAACCTGACAGACTTCTCATTATTTCAAGCAGTATTTCTTTTTCATTTTGGAAAGCTCTGGGCTAGTGGTAATTTATAACAATGAAAACAATCCAGGAAAAGTAACTGATCAGGAGCTGACATTTGCCACAAGCAAGAAGTTTCAGAAAGGCTTTCCAATGAGGAATAAAGCTCTTCCGAAAACAGATCCCCAGGAAAAAGCATTAGACCAGTAATTATTCTAGGGGAAAACATTACACACCATGAGCTGAGCTGCATTCTTACTCAGATTCACATGTAGAAAATTGCATTTAAGGATTGGAAAATTCAATTCCAAAGGTTTCTCTACATGTGCAGTTCTCATGCTAACTATATTCATCAGGAATTCAGCTGTGTTTGTATTTTTTTGTATTGTTTTGTATTCTTTTGATTGTATAACACGAAAAAATAAACACAGTATCTTAAATCACAACATGGATTTCAGTGTTAGTGGAAGTGAATGGCAATTTATTGTGGAACAAACTGGATCAGTAACATATTTTTAATAGTCTCAGTGTATTTCCTCCAGAAACCTTGTTTCTAAAAGTTTGTGAATTCATTCATGGACTTAAGTAGGACACTAACGGTTCCGTAATACTAACATAAGGAGCTCATAAGGTTAAGGTGATAACGCACATCAAACAAGCGCTCTTATGTGAATTTCAGATACTCAAAACTAGAGCTTTTATTCTATAGCCAATGTCATCTAGCCATTCTGGGCCGCTCTTAACAAGAATGGCCCAGAAATCATGTCAAAAAAAATCAGACAAGTCTTTTAAGTGAATCCTTAAGTAGCAGCGGTTATTAAATGACCTGGTAGAAAGTAAACCTTCCAGAAGCAAGTGTCCAGGGTTTTTCAGTGAAATTGCAGTACTGTACACACAGGTTTAGCTGGAATGAATGAAGTATCATTCAAAGCTCAACCAGACAGCTTTTTAAACATGCCTCTGTTAAAAAACCAAAACAACCCAAAAAAAACCAACCAAACCTCAAGCTCCAATATAAGATAATGGCAATAGAATTACAACTAATCGAAAGCAGAGAAAACATTTTTTGTTTCAAATATGACACCTACTTTGTTTACCAACATACCCCAAGATGGTTTTACTAATTGAAAAAAAATTGGGGTTTAATAATTTAAAAGATACTCATTACATCAAAGCAATCCTATTACATTCCCAAATTCCCCCCGAAAAACTGGTCTGTTGCTAACGGCAAGCAGCATTTTTTTTTTAACTGTAAAACCTCAGAACAAAATCTGTTGTGAAAAATGTAACCCCGTACAACATGAAACCCCCAAAACACTGCAATTAACAAAAGAAGAGGGGTGGGGCGAGGAGAAGCTTGCTAAGACTATAAGGCAAAAAAGTTAACACCGAGCGCACCCTTGGCATGTTGCATCAGAAACCGGCTGCATGGCCATTTCTCCTCACTCTCCTTTCTCTTCCCCCCACTTTCCCCTCAGTTGGACGCTTAGGCAAGCACACGAATGGCATCTACCCCCAAGGCCCGGCCGCAGCCACGGGCGGGGAGGAGGACAGACAACTTCATGACTTCACTTCGTGCCCGACACTTGGGCCAGAAGCAGGACGGAGGGAGAGAGAGCGTCGGTGCTTTCCCTTCCCCTGACTCCTGCGGAGGACAGACGGGGCCCCACGCTCTCCCGGGGCCTAGCTAGCTGTCCAGAGCCAAAGTTGGCCTTTTCTCTGCTACGAGGTGGCCGGCTCCCCTGCGGGACCGGCTCCGAAAGCAGCACCCGCCCTCAAAGCCGCTGCTGGCCGCCACCCCCCCTCCTCCCCGGGAGGGAAGCTTCATCCTGTCAGTGCTCCTGCACGGGGCAGCAGCCGGAGGGGCTGCGGCGAGCGGCGGACGCGCCGCGCTAGCCCCGGCCCGGAGCCGCCCCGCTCCCGCTCGACTCCTGTCCGCCCCGCTAAGCCGCCGCGTCTCCCCGTGCCCTACCAAGTCGTAGTCCTCCTCATCATCGCACATGAAATCATCCTCCATGTCAGACATCTTGGCCGGAGGACGGGCGAGGGGGGGGGGGAAGGAGGCACCGAAGACAACCCCTTCTCCCACAACCCCGTGCGGCGCTGCCCAATGTGGCTCCGCTTCGCCCGGAACCCGCAGCCACCCGCTTCCCTCCCGCCCCCGTCCCGGAGCACACGGAACCCAATCCGCGCTGCACCACCGCCGGCTTCCTCTCCTTGCTAGCAACCAGCCCCTAGCAACGGCAGCCAGCCTCCCTCAGTCCCTCCCGCCCTGTAGCGGGTCGCTGCGACACCGCCTTGCCCCCTGACGCCAAAGGGGCCTCCCCGGCGGCGCCGCGCCTCGGTGGGGCGCTGGGCCTTTGGGCCTCCGGGCAGTGGCTCTGCAGCCGCCCGCGTGCCGCGATGGCGGGGGTGGTGTCCGTGTGTCCTGGTGTGAGCAGGCCGGGCCCGCAGCGAGAGCTGGGGCTGGGCGTCCCCGGGTGGCAAATTCAAACAGCCCGGCCGCGGGCCGATGCCGGCCGCGCCGCTCGGTCCTCAGGGCAGGCTGCGTGCCCCTTGGTGCCGCCGAACAACTTAAGAGGGACTGCGCTGCTATACACCAACAATACCGCAGCAGCAGTTTTGAACTGCGTAAATGTAAAAAACACGGCCCTTACAAAACACCGGCTTTGTGAAGATTTTTACACAGTAATTTCTGCTGCCACCTTCAACTGGGGAAAAACACCCGACAGACAAGCTCTGCCTCTCCACAAACACGAGGCCCGTGGTTCTCATACGTTCACAGTGTTTGTTGGGTGTTCAGATTGTTCTTTTGGTGGTCTTTTTATATTATTACAGGTTTTCTAATGGCTTGGGTTTTCTTTTGTCTTCCTGTGGCTAAGTTCTTTAAAAACCTGGTTTCTACTCTGTCAAACACAAATCGGGAGAAGGTTTTGCCTCAGAAAAATACATAAATCCACAGTGAAATCTCAGTGTCACTATGCTTCTCTCAGTACAAGCACTTAGAAGCTTAAGTTGAATTCTAGAGGCTTTAACATAGCAAAATACAATGAGTGAGCATTTGAAAAGCTTAGTTCTTCAAAGTAACTGCAGCCATTAACCTTGAGGGGTGAAGAGGAGCTGCGAGACCGCCAATTTGAGGGAGGCTGGAAGAACCCCAGAGGCTGGAAGAACACCAGAAAGATAAGAAAACCTAGGGGGTGGATACCGCCGCAGGGGATCGCACTGTCAGTTCATTGCTTCCATTCTTATCGTGGTTTTCCGGGGAACAGAAGCTGGTCTAGCGAACGGCACTGGGGGCGATGCCAACCCGGGGCGGCTACACCTGGCCCCGCGCATCGGCTTTGAAGTCTCTCTGTTGCCTGCTGAATTCTGACAGGATTAAAGGAAAAACCCTTCCCTTCACCTGTCGAAGCGGCTTTCGTGTCACGTCTGGGCCATGGTGGGCGAGGAGCTGAGGGCTGAGCGGCCCCACAGCGTGTGCGCTGCGGGTACCCGGTGTGCCTGGAGCCGGGCCTGGGGCTGAGCGCCTCACCCGTGCCCTGCCACCGGCGCCGGGGCGGGGAGGAGGCCGGGCTGCCAGCTCTGCCGCCCGGAAGGACGGTGTCTGCCTGTCCCGTGACAGGGCTCCAGCCGGAGGCATCGCATCGTGCCGCTGCCCGCCTCAGCCAGGAGCCGGCGCGGGGAGCCGCCATGGCGGCGGAGGCTCCCGGCACCCTCCCGGTTCAGCTGGTGGAGCAGCCCAGGTGGGTGGGTCGCTCCACGCGACCCCGGCCCCGAAGCGGGGGGCCACGTCCGCAGGCGGGACGCGGAAGTCCGCGGCCGTTTAAGCCCGCGCTGGCGGTGTGCAGGCGGGCAGGGGAGGTGGAGGGCAGATGGGACGGTCCGTGCCCGTGCTCCTGGTCTGAGGTGGCGGGGTTTTGACCGGTGCTGTTCTGTTTTGCCTGCACACAAACAGGGTGACGCTTCCATTCTGTGTGGCTCCGGGAGCATCCCTTCCGCAGCCACATTGGCCCGGGCGGACTTTGGTTTCTCGGCCGGCCCGGGTCCCTTCTCCCGCCCCTTCCCCAGGGAACACGGCTCCCTGCAGCCCCTCGCACAGTGTCCCGGGGGCGGCAGGAGGCACGATTCACTCGTCTTTGCTCCGAGCATCTTTTATGTTTCCACATTTTTGGGGATATCGATTATCCTCTCAACCTTTTGGTTATAAAAGAAATGCCCATGCCATTCCCTGGCACACCGTAGGTCTGGTTCTGCGTTGATATGCCCACAGCTCGTGCCAACTCATGTGCTTTCGCCATGGAGCTGCACTGGGTGCGTGGAAGTAGGATGCACAAATGGTTCAAATGAACCTTTTTACCTGTGTTAACACTGGAGAAAGGTAATTTATCCATTTGTGTCACTTCAGTGTGATTGCACTGTGTTTCGATGACAGTCGCGTGGCAAGGATGAGTCCGGTATTTCCAGACGTGGGTGGATGTGTGAAGTTGCGAAGGATGCCTTTGCTTAACACTTCTGATAATGATCTTTGATGTAGGTGCTTAAAATGCAGAGTGCCAGTTGCAGCATCAAGGCCAAAGGCTGTAAATAGCCTTTCATCAGGCCTGCTTGTAAAACCCACATTCAAAAGAGATCAATCAGCACTTAGATAAACATGCCCCTATGACTGCACTGTTTGTTCTTTGTCTCTTGGTACCAACACCACTATAAAAATATCTGTGAAACAAGGAAGTGTTCTAAATACTGACACAAAAAGGAATAAAGTTAACACCTAAAATTCTGCCAACAGATTTCCCCCTTGGACTATAATAGTATTAATGTGATCTAGAAAAGAGATTGTACAATGAAAGGGCAGAAACTGCTTCTGCTAATTGGAATAGGGATAAACCAGTCAATACTAGAGGAGATTATAAGAAGGGGAAATTATAAAGGGACCTAATACAGCTTTGTTGCTGAGCACCACAATGGAAAAGTACTGAAAGATCCGTTGGGGAAAAAAAAAAATCACAACAAATAATATTTTGTAGTTTTCCATCTAACCCACCCCCCCAAAAAAACCCCATTCAAATATATGCAGTTGGACAATAAGACAGCTTTTACAAAGAAGTACAAACTAAATAATTGACTGTGAAATGTTGTAACATCTGTTTCTTGTTGCTGTTTTCTTACTTGCGCTTTGCATTAACTAGGCTTCAAGTTTTAGACTAAATGTAGAAATCTTAGCATGGTTCCTGTTACTAGATTCTTGTTTGTAGACTAAAACCCCAGAAAATAAATTTAGTTGGCTACATGCTTGAAAGCCAACAGTGTTTGCCAGTGAAATGTTGTAAGTCCCATTCTAAAGATTATTTTTCTTGTATTCCTAGTGCTTTTTCATCATTTTAGTCTGCTGCTTACAGTAATGAAAGTTAATTGGTTAGTGCGCAACCTAAATTGCTTTAAGGTAGTTTTGAAGTGAATCGCTATCAAATTTCTTATGCTTCACAAAGATAATGGCTCAGTCTCTTCCAGGTCTTTGTTTACCCCTGTTCCTGCATGACACACTAAACCATCCCAACTTTGCAAACACAGGGTGGAAGCTAGATACCTTTACAGTCTTAGGAAATAAAGCAATATGCCACGTTTTACTTTGCATTGGAATGTTCAGTTCATGGCATGTCCAGAACGTCCAAATGGAAAACCTGAAGAACTTTCTGGGAACTGCTGCTGTAAACCTGTAAATACTAAGTAGCAGGGTTAATCTGAGGTTTGGAACATTACTTCTCTGTATATGCTTTTGTACAAGAATAGGGTAGTGTCTAATGTGGAAATTGATAAAAGTTAAAACTTAGAGGAAAATGAATTTGCTCTGGGCTGGTACAGTCAGATCTGACTCTGAAGGGAGTATCTGTGTGTGTGTGACAAATCTTAGTGCCACAGAGGAGCCACTGGTCCACACTGACAAATTCTTCTTCAATGGCTAACAGATTTACAGAGCTGCAGAGTTTTAAATAAGTCACCTTCCATCCTTTTCAAGTGAACATACATATTTCTTATTCATCTGAATATTCTAAATAGTCTTCTTGGTCACAGTTAATGTAATTGAAGAGCAAAAATAAAGAGCTTAATGTAGCTCCTGATGTAACAAAGAAAACTGTGTATTTCAAAAAGTTAATTTGAATTTACTTTGAGAAACATCAAAACGTTCTGATTTTTATGCAAATACAGGCTTTCTAAATGTTTCTAATCCCCCTTTCAGATTGCAGAAGCTGAAGGAGATGTTTATATCAAAATTTGGATCAGCTCCCAAGTTTTATGTTCGTGCACCAGGGCGAGTCAACTTAATAGGTAAAAGAGAAAAATTACTCTTTCTTTTATCTGCCATCATGGAAGCCTAGTAGTTAAAAACGTAGAATCCAAATATTATTAGGCTTAATTTTATAAGGTAAGATAAATGGAAAATACAACACTTTACTGGCTTTTACTACACCTTGTTATGAACAACTGCACACTCAAATATCAGTTCTGGAAAAAAAAAATTACAGACAGTAGTGACAGTTTCGAAAATTGAGGTAACTTCTTGCCAGCTGATGGTTGGATACTTTTTTTTTAAGGCTTTGGAAATACAACCTAAAGTAGTTGCTGAACACAGCATCCACAAATGAACTTAGTACATTTTTTTTCTTGTCCATTTAAGTTACCGAATATAACCAGCCACACAGCAATGCATATGATAAAGCATGGAATGATTCTATCATAATCTCGCCTTCCTTACTCTTCTATAGAGATGTATCTACAGAACTTAGAATAGTTAGTTGTGATTCACTGGCAGACTGGAGAGACACAATTATTTTGTATTTAAGACTTGTATTTCTGTGGTAACCTTATTTTTGAGATTTCTCTATTGATGTTAGGACTGTGCTCTCCCTAGGGCTCAGTTTCTTGTATACTCTTAAAGTAACCCTACACATTTGAAGACATTTTAAGTAAAAGGATCCTGCAAAACAGAGTTTTAAAAATTAATTAGTCCATTGTGCAATTAATGATAATTTTTACCTTGGTGTTATGTGAACATACCATACAAGTAGACAGCATATGCTAAGTGGGAATTATTCCCAAGAGGGAGGATGTTTACTACAATCCATATGTGTTGTATGCACTTACATTAATGATTTTTTAAATATAATTTTTTTGGATAAAGGTCTAGAAATTCAATGGGGGTGAGAAACATTCTGCCACAAACCTTATCTGGTGACTGGGGAATCATCCACATGAGCAGAGATCACATGAGGAGTCATATGCTGCCTTTATCTCTTCCAGTCATCAGTTAAATGCAATTGATTTGACTGAATTTTTGTACTGTCACAACAGTGCACAAATAATGTGTCTGTTCTCATTACTGGACAATAATTTATGTAGTGTTGTTTGAGGGTTTTTTTAATTTTTTATTAGCCAGTATTAAAACATGCAGATCTACAAACAGATGCAATAGATAAAATCACTAAAGCAAGAACCAAAGTTTTGTGCAATAGTATGAAATAGAGGAAATACACCCCAATAAATAATAAAGAGTTGAGCCTCTATTCAAAAATTGTCTCACACAGTAACCAACACCGAAGCTCTAGAGAAGCCTTGTTACTGCTATTCTAGGAAGAATTATTCCAAAATATTTTAATTGTCTGTTTCTTTGGTAGGAGAACATATAGACTACTGTGGTTATGCTGTGCTCCCTATGGCTATAGAACAAGATATACTGATTGCAGTAGAACCTGTAAAAACTCAAGTTGTGCACCTGGCAAATACCAATTCTCTTTATTTGTAAGTAATTACTTTGTTTATTCACTAATACTGATGGATCTTCTTATGCCATTGCAATTCAGGTTAACTTTTCAGATCTGACAAGCTTCCATTGCAATATAGAGTTTAATTGTGTAAAATGAACGATACAAGCAGATGGAATCCCACTGACTCCATGCTGTGCATATTAGTTTAGAGCAATGGGTTTGCTACTTTTGTCTCCCACCTGTTCAGATTTCTCTTGTGAGGCCTCCTATTTTTCAGTCTTTGTAAAAGCACAATCCTGTCTTCCCTTCTTTTAGCTCATCTTTCTTGATGTAATTCCTATAACTGCACCAGTTCAATTTCTCCTGGAGAAGGGACTGAAATGTTTTGTAATCAATTAGGGCATATGTAAGCTAACACTCCCCTGCTCTGGAGAACCTGGGGCTGTATTTTCACAATACAACAGCTTTAGCAACAATCCTGGCTAAAAAACTTTATATCCCATCTTTTCCACTTCCTCCACAGCTGCTTGTTTGCAGAATTGTAGACTAATTTAGGTTGGAAGGGACCTTTGGAGATCCTTTGTCACTGTCTTGATCGCCTTCTGCTGGACTCCCTGCAGTTTGCCATGTCTTTCTTGTATTGGGAAACTCCAGAACTGGACACAGTATTCCAGCTATGGTCTCACAAGTGCTGAATGTAGGGAAATAATCCCACCATTCTTTTCAACTTCAGCCACATTCTTCTGCCTCCTTCCTTGTAACAGACTGGTATTTGTGTAGTTGAATGGCAGTTCAGATGAGGTCACTCATCCACATGAACTTTTGAGGGCATTTTGCAAAAATCAGAATCAGCATAAACGTAGTTGAACCTATCTTTCTTAAGCCAACTATTTGAGCTTGTATTCCTGCTTAAAGCTCAGTTTGTTATAAGAACATGTTCTGAGCTGCTGCCTATGGCTAAGGCAGTTGAATTTTTACTTCTGTGGTAAGTGTAAATACTCAAATATTTTTCAATTACTTTGTCGAGTATGTTTTCCCATTATAGCTGGGCTGACTTGAGAGTTTGTCACTGCAAAAAGGTGATGGCTTGCTTCTTTTACCCCTGGTCTCCCTTTTCCTGCTTCTAACACTGATTCACCCTCTCCCCTTTACCACATGTAGTACTTGTTTGATCTTACAGTAAAGTGCACTATTCACCCTTTTTTTTTTTTCCCTGGTTAATTTTGTGTCATTTTAATGAATTGCCATGCACTCAGCACTAAAGTTGACTCGGGGTAAACAGTGGGAACATGCAGTGGTGAAATCGGGGAAAGGAACTGTAAGATGTGAGTGGGACCTTCCCCTTTCTTCAATAGCAGCCTCTCAACAGGTTTAAGCTGTATTGCAAAACCATTCTGCAAGAATAGTTCCAGAATTATAATAGCTTTGATTAGGAAAGGTTGTCATAATGGATACTAAATAAAGTAGTAACCAGAAGGTGAACATTTTTACTTGAACTTTGAGCTCTGGCACATTGCAATTGAAATGGCATCCTCCTAAGGTACATAGTTTGTACTAGATCTAGAATTACAGCCTTTGAATTCAGGCTGCAGGCGTAGTCACTGTATTTTTGTATCTGCCCTTGTTTTCAGTTTGAAATCATGTTTTAAACCATAAACCAAGAAGAGGTCTCAGAATACAGCATTAAGCATTTCTGTTTTGTTGAGACACTGTTGCTTAAAAACAAAGCTGAAACGTCCCCATAATTTCATAACAAAGAAATATTTTTCAACACTTTGAATGCTACACCACATAACAATACTGTTGACAGTGTGTCTTTCTTTCAGATCATGTTGCACTGGTAGATTTATGCCTGTGGTGAATGCATATATATAAGCCTTTGGTGAACAAGAACTATACGCCTCCACAGAATCACTATTTCTTATTTCATTCATGTTTTGTGAACTGGTAAAATGTTTAACAGTTCTGTAGCCTTCCACCTCGATAGTTCATATTAACTTTTAGGAAAACCAGGACAGAGGATAGCTTGCAAGGAAAAGCACCCATGTGCACCCATGTGCACCATGTTTTTCATGATAAATCACCCCAACTATCAGATGCCTTTTATGTTATTTGGGCTAAAATGGTATTCAAAAGTTAGTCTTTTGAAGTTCCTGATACCTCCCCTTCACATGACATTTCTGTAATTGAGAAATACTTGTGCAGAGAATATCTGAAATGATACTTCTCAAAATACCCTGAGAAATACCAGAGGCCGATAATGACCAATCAGTTTCCAACTTGTGGCAAAATATGAAAATCCATTTTTAAAAACCTTAGATTTGTTTTATTTTTCCCCAGAGGACTCGAGCAGAGAAACCAGGTTGGAAAGACAATGAGGTTCTGTGAGAAAGAACCAAACTGCTCTCTCAAAAATAAGGATTAACTATTCAAGCAGTGAATACCACCTCAGCCAGGTGGTTTTTTTACACTACTCAAAAAACTCATCTAATTACAGATAATTGGAATGCTTACACCTAGCCTTAAAGGAGGGGCAAGCTTTCCCAAGAATCCTTTAGAACAGGAAGGCTAGAACAGACAATATCAGAGATTTTTACTTTTTGGGTATGTTTTTCCCAACTTTTTATTTTATTACAAAGTCCTGAGAGCAAACTACGTACTTTCCAGTAGGAGGATTGAAGGCAAGCCTGAACATTTGCAGATTAAGCATAAAGATCTGGGGATCTTGACAGTTCCACTGTCTGTGTTTGTGTGAATGATGTCCATATGAAACATGCCAAAATCAAAGGCAATTTTTCTTCGATGTTCTACCAAAAGATTGCAAAAATGAGCAAAACGCGTTTTAAAAAGTCATTATTTTATCTTGAGAACCAGCAAATACAATCGTAGTATACGTCCTCTTGTTCATTGCAGTTTTAGCTTGTCTGATCATACAAAAAGAATGACAAAGATAATAAATTTTAGAACTTTAATTTGATTTGTATTAAGCACTTTTATGCATTGATTTCCATCAACCTTCCTTTTTTGAAATAATACAGAACTGTTGAAGAAAACAGTTGTAAGCAAACATAGGGTTTTTAAATCTTTGTTACTTTTGACAAGTATTATCTATTTTACACGTACTTTTGTGGGGTTTTGTTAATAATATATTTTAAAGCCATAAGCAAAATGTTGGTTTATTCTCTGGGTTATTGTTCTAAATACACACAAATCTCCAATAGGTAGAATTTACAGCTATTCTCAAAACTTTCCTTGTACTGTAATCTCAAAACTCCCTTTCAGATCTTTTGTGTTACTCTACAAACCCCAGTAATGCCTGACACTAACTTTGTACAATTCTTTGATGCTGCATTGCTGATAAAATCTTGTAAGTGGCATTATTTTGAACAGTTCAGATTGAAAGACAGCAGTCTCTGCTATTTCTGCACAATACTGAATGTTGAAATTGAATGTGTAACTGACATAATGGTCATACTGAGTTGATACTTAAAGAGTGTATGATCTGTCACGTAACACTGAGCTAGGAATACGCTGTAGACTGGTAGTACAAGTGGAGTAACTCACTACAGCATAGCTAGCATTAGACCATAGGAAGAGGAGGCAGGATTGTGGGGCTATTTTTACAATGGTTGTTGGGTTTGGGGGTTGCATAACACAAAAATTTCAGCCTTTAACTGCACCAGAATAAAGTGAAGTTCTCAGACATAATTTGAAGACAATTATATTATTGTGAAGTTGCTTTATATATTATAATAAACAACTATTTGTACCAATAAAAACATCACGCTGGTATTCATTACAGGTATTGACTTACAGTATTGTTTTGGATAATAATAAAACCACCACATTATTTACAGATATAGACTGGGACTAGCCAAAACCGCCAAAATTCCATCCTCTTATGAGTTGCAGACTGTCTAATTTCTTGAAATTACACCTAAATATTCCCAGGGAATTCACCTGCCTCTGTTCATGCTGTTTGCAGACCTTGCCTTGTAAAGCACAGCTTAGCCTGCAGTTCTTAAATATTTTTTGTTAGGTTTTCTTGACATTCTCAGTGCTTTTCCTCTTTGTGTGTTGAGCATCTGCTATAATGACATCAGGCAGATACAGTTATTGGGCATTCAACTGTATAGACTTCTGAACAATTTATGCTTCTTGGTGATTAACTCTTCGGAGGCCACTGTGCATTACTCAATTTTGACAGCACCTATCTTACCATTAGCTTTGTTAGAAACACTCAGGCTTATCATTTTTGTTGTTTTGAAATGAAGATGGAGTAGAAAGAACACTATCAGAATTATCCTGAAAGAAATATACTATTTTAAACTAAATTATTTTATCATGTAACATAAATAATTTTTCAGCATTAGGCCTGTTCTAGTGAAGTGCCATTCAGAGTAAAGGTAATGAAGATGAATTCCTGAGCAGGGATTACCACAGAGCCTGAAGTGTATTTATCTCTTTCTAGGTTTGACAGATAGGATTATTTAGATATTCACTTCTCTAAGGGATCAAGAGAACATACACACGTGATGGAAAGCATACTGCCTTAATTAAGGATGCCAAAGGTAGCTTTCTTTCTGAATTTATTTAATAAAGTCTGTAACTTAAGCAAAAATTCTTATGCTTCCACCTAAGATATCCTTACTGATTTGATTCATAAAGATCTGTAAAAAACCCTTGAAAAACATGGCACAGAAAAAATGAACATCGGAATGCTTTTGTTCATCAGCAGGTGGCAGTAATAAGCCGTGTTTTTTAAACTAAATTTACTGACAAGTTAAAGCCTCAAGGTTTTTCTGTTTTTGCAGGGATTTCAGTACTAGTGTTAATAACATTCAGATTAACAAAACCAAACCTCAGTGGCATAACTACTTCCTGTGTGGACTGAAGGGTATTCAGGTAAGCCAAATCCATTTCACTTATGAAATTATGTGGAAGTAAAATACAACAAGCCTACCTATTCACCTTTAAAGTACTTCCCTGCATTCTATAGCTTTTCTTGACATACAGTTAAGTATTTTAATGTTAAAATTTGAAGAGGAACTATGAGTGGCTTTGTTTTACAATATCTGCAGAGCACTGTTTTTATTACATAAATTGCAATAACAATTATTTAGTAAAGTCATTACCAAACTCATTATCAAGATATTTTTGTAGTTTGAAGTTAAAAAGAATGCTTTCCAATTGAATCATTTAATTAGAATTTGCATTCAAAAAGGTTTGGAGGCTTAGTCTGTCCAGATACAAAGATCCTGTTTTAGTCCTTTTCTTCCTATGGAAGCATTTTAAAAAGCATAAATTTCCATTAATTTTGGAAATCTACAACTTGTGCACAACAACAGAGTGAAGATGGTTCATACAGTAGGCAAAAGAAAGTGTAAAAAGTAGGTAAACAGCATAGAGAAGAAATATTCCAGTAAGAGCCATTACTCATCCAACATTTCAGTGTGTGGAATTTGAATGGGATTTTCAAAATTTCCTGAGTTAAGAGTGCAGCTATGCAGGAAGCAGCGCACTTACGGTAAGGGCAGGAACACTGAACAGACATTTTCCTGAGCGTTATCTTCTCCTTTATGAGCTAGCCTGTCTCCAGATTTGAAAACTGAATGGCTTGTGAAACCAAGTGCTGATGTTGCTGTTGTCCTGGGAGGTAGCCTGAACTCACAATTGAGGCTTCCTATAAATCTCACCTGCTGTTTGCAGGTGATGCATGGCTCTTTGAGGAAAAATCTGATGACTTCTGAGCTCCATGTCTATCCAGTGATCTTTCTGGAAGGGCAGATGGGATAAACAGTGTGGGCTAGGTCAGGAACAGGTCACCACAGCCAGCCAAAATTGTGGGGTAAACGTGCTTTTTAAAGCACATGAAGCTTGCCTGAGGATAGGCCATCTAGGTCACCTCACAGGATGATCCCATAGGTAAGGACTGCAGACAGCCAACAAAGCCAGCCTCAAACCTGCCACAGGAGTCTTCAAAATACAATATGTGGAACAATCAGTGCCACAAATCACTTTATTACAATCCACAGTTCCTAAAGTGACCATCGTCCATGTGTTTAGACCCCAAGAAATTACTTAGGTTTGCAGTAACGTAAGTATTTTCAATTTTGTATTGCTCAGTAACACAGGCATTTAAATTGCATTAACTGTAGCGATATAGATTAGGTTTCTTTACAATATATCCTTTCTTACATTAAGGCTAGCATGACCAATTGACTTTATTTATTTTGCAGTCTGCTACTGAGATTTGTTTCCTAAGGACAAGCTTTCATACTTGAAGGTTAATTTGCAAAGCAGGTTTGCAAACTCTAGTGCTGGCAGAAAAGCAGCATAAATGTTACAGACTTAAGAAACACTGAAATACAAGTACTCAGAGGGTCCAGCGGGATAATCTGTTTATATTAAGTTGAACATGCTATCCTTTTGGGACAGAACTATTGCAGAAGTTGGCAAAGTCCATTTTCATTTTTGAAACTGAAGTACGTTTTCTATTTAAACATTGCGTGATAAGTTTGAAAGCCTGATTCACATTCAAGACGATCCAGAAACTGTGGATCAGTTTCTGGTTACTCAAGCATTTTCTGGTTTTGAACAAGCCTGTCCAGTGTTCTTCATGAAGGGGCATGGGCAGCAATAGTATTTTAGGTATGAATTCCCTTATACTTGGAGAAAGGGAAATTTAATTCTAGATGATGGCAAAAGACATTAAAGGAGGCTCTTTGTGTTTGCTGATCTCTACCATTGGTATTTACAGTTGAAGCTGTTTCCGAGAAAGTAGTAGAAATTTTTTTGAAGGCGGGCATTTCTTTAGGGAAATACTGCTGACTTTTATGATTATTCACATTGCACATAGTTTATTGACATACAAATCTGTATCCGAATATAGCTATTCATATACCCCCCATATACATTCAATGAGTTTCTAATAAGTATTGCATGTTTATTTCAAACTAACAGCAGAGAGAAATTTATACTAAAGTGATTCTAAATACAAAGACAGAGCAACAAAAGAGTAATTAAAAGAGTATGTACACTAGGATTTGTGACTTCAGATTAAATGTATAATCTTTTATCTCCATCATTATGTACAAGTATTTTCAACTTTATTCTAAAAATAGCACAACAGAGACCATTGCTGCTGGTAGGTATGTCTTTGTGCCTCCTAAGGCATAGTGTCCTTCAAGTACCATTGTGGTTTTCTCATTGTCAGTCCTATGGGTGCTTCATGAGATCGGAGGATCTGGATTTGAGTACAGCTGCATAGCTACTAGTTCCTCATCACTGTGATACGGCTCCCTGATACCACTAAGTGAAGCATAAAGTGGCCCTTAAGCTCTTTAGGATGCCTTAAGTAAAGAGCTGTGGAGAAAAGGCCAAAAGTAGGATATAAAGTGACTGGTAACCTCTGGTACTGTCACCATGGCAGTTCAGAGCAGAGCCCACCCACAAAGCTTCGTAAATTCGTGGGCGTTTAGCCCATACTGAATTCTGCTTGGGGTACAGTTCTTTTAGCTCATACATGTTTGTGTACAGGAACTGCAGACATGTATTTGGCAAAGCCCTATCACTGGGTTTGTTCTTAAGGAATAGAATGAAAATTTTCTTTATTCTGCTTATACCAGAAGCAGGTCCTTGGTTCCAGCAGCTCAGCCGAATGATTCTCTTTCTAAGTATCAGATAATTGCAAGCCTGAGCCTGTCTGTTCTTGAAACTGAGATTGTTTATTTTTTCATTGTTAGGAACATTTTGGTCTTAATAACCCAACTGGAATGAATTGTCTGCTAGATGGAACCATCCCTCCAAGTTCTGGTCTCTCTAGCTCCAGTGCTTTGGTGTGCTGTGCAGGACTCGTGACACTAAGAGCTAATGGAAAAACCCTCTCCAAGGTAATTTACTGTAAAACACGAGAGTGTCAGCAGTAAAATTCTACTTAAAATTAAATATTGTTAATGCCTGTAAACATTAAAAACACGATACAATTGTTTTTGCAAGGAGTTGTTGGATATAAACTTAAGATATTGCACAATTGAGCAAACATCTTTGGCCAAATTTTGGCAGGATTTGAATTTGGCAAGAAAACAGGCTTACATTAAAGCTGAAAAAAGGAGCATTATTGTAAGCCTGTATTTTGGCCAACCATCAGGTCCATGCCTAGACCAGATGTGCTATCTTGCAGGCCAGGACTGAGGATATATGTGCTGAAGCATGTGGACCACACCCCCGAGGCCTTTACCCTCTCCCTGAATGACTTTTCATGGCTTTAACAGCAGAGCATCTGCTGGAGGCCTGTGGAGCAGTTTCTTGATAAATTATATAATCAGCACAAAGTAGAGGTAAAATTCTTCCATCTGACTCTCCTTATTCTCTTCACTTTTTTTTTTTTCTGGATGAACATATTTACAATCCAAAATGTATTCCTCACTTTTTTAAACAAACATTAGTCTAAACACAAACCCCAAGTATGTGACCTGTTAGCAGTACAACTGTGAGGAGAATTTGGCTTGTGTAATACAAATTTCTGGAGGAGTCATGGTCCTTGAAGGTGCCATATGGGAGTGAAGTTCTCTCCAGTAAAAATATCTGGTTAAGTGAAACTAGGATCTTAAATTAGAACATTGTCAGGAAGAGAAAAGAACAGATCTAAATATGACTGTTACACATACTTGTGCCTATTGTTTAAGGCAGACATTCCCCACTTGTGATAGAAAGCCAACTTAAAGTGGTACGTGATGATGGCAGCTGTTAAGTGGGATTGTATACAAGTACTCATCTGAGCAATGAGGTAAACAGATCCACACAGAAAGTTTTTGCTGATCAGTTTGTGACTTGCTTCTGTATGTAACTGCAGCAATCTGCTCATAAGTGCTCCGTCTCACATTGTGCAGCTCACAGTGCTTGCTTCAGGAAGGTGTCAAGCAGGGTTAAGACAGAAGGAAGCAGGGCTGGTGAGGCAGGGCAGCTTTTTTATGTAGGGGGATGTCGCTACAGTCACTGTCACACTGCTTTGTGTTGGTGTGGTATGTGCTTATGAGTAAGTAAGGGATTGGACACTTAACAGAGGCTCTAGTTTGTGAGGTGAGACATACAGTGCAATGGTAGATGAAAACGTGGAGTGGAGGATCCCACTTTGATGAACGAGGCTTTGCAGTAAGACAGTTGGAAGTGACAGATGTGCTTTTTTATACATGTGTACCTGCCCTGGCAAGAAGAGTCTGGTTCTGCCCAGATGATCTTACCACAGGTCACCACCATCTTTGATGGTGGTAACCAAATGAGCTAAGCTTGAGAGCTACTGATCCAAATCACTGGAGTACATGTGATCAGAAACTGGGTATCTGCAAAATACTTAAAACTGATAGAGGTCAGAAAACCCAAATTTTACTAGATAGTAGAAATCTGTATTTGGAAAACCAGAAGCCAGGTTTTCATTATTCCAAGAAATACTGCACAGCTTTCTTCAGAGAATAAGTGATACAGCATGTACTTTGAGCTGAATTTACACATGGCTTGGGAGTACTGGCCAGCATTATGCCAGACCCATTTAAAGAAAGGTGCAAAACTCCTTTTGGCATTTTCATAGAAACTTGTGGAGGAACAGAAGGAAGACAGAGACTCCACTGAATGTCTTTCCTTCTCATGTGTCCTGTTCAATCAGCCCAAAATCTCTTCTGCTTGCTGTTTGAAATGTGCTGAAAGTTAATTTTGTGTCTCCAATATAATTGGACAAATACAAGAGACACAATTGCACATTTGTGTCAGGAAATCCTGCTGTCTGCAGCCAAATATTTTGCACTTGTGAAAAAAAAAAAAAAGAGCAATTAATGTACAGATGAGAATTTCCAATAGCCAACATAGGAGCTGGTAAGAACATACCCAAGGTTTTGTGTGCTTGCACGGACGAAGAGACCTGTTTGTGGTAGCTAAGACAAAGAATGACAGCTCTGAAGAGCATTTACTTTTGTCCAGGCTCTTAAATTTCCCCAAATCTTACAGGACAGTAAAACCAAGTTCAGTGTTCTTGGCTAATTTATGATTTAGCATTAGAGACCTCTTACATCTAGCTAAATCCAGATTCTCTGTTGCACTGAATTTATGCTTAGCCTTGCAGAACTGCTTTGGATAAGGCAGTGCTAGTCTGAGTATAAATTAGAACAACCTAGGCATGTGAGGCCTCAGAAGTATAAAACGTGCTCTGGCCACTTCTTTGCAGCTCTTAATGCATCCTGTGCTGGTGTCAAATGGTATCTGTGCAGGATCCAGTAATGCTGGCCGGGTATCAGCTGAGAGCTCCCGCATGGCAGGGGAATTCTTAGCTGACTAGAAATGGGGACTTTGCAGATCCTTTCTACTAGAAAGCAAACCAAGACCTTGCATTTTTAGGGCTCTGAATATTTATGTGTTTATTTTTAAGGAAGAAATATCGCTTTATGTCACCTCTCTGCCTTTTTTTTCCCCAAAATGTTTTAGTGTTGTGAAAGCTGTACATGGTGGTATTTATAAGTGACAGTATTTGGTCACAGTGGTAATTTTATGAGAAAAGAGATGAGATGCCCCTCATTAGTCTGACGGACTTCGCAAAATCTTAATGTGATGGTTTGTAGCAGCAAGACACAAGCTTTTGGCTCTGGAATCAAATTTGGCTGAACTGTAGGGCTTCTGTAGCCAAAGTTATGAAAATATGACCTTTCACTGAGTAGAACTTTTATCTGTTTTGTTTCTGTGAAACTATTTTTATGAGAATATTTTAGTTATATGCTCTTTTTCCTGATAAATGTAAGTTTAAAATAGTAGCTGTGGAGTACAAGTTTCTGAAATTCAGAGCTTTTATGAGATAACACTTCCAGTGTGAAGTTTGGGCCTATGAGATTAAGAGCCAAAACCAACAAAAATGAACAATATTGTAAAAGGATCACTAGAATTTCTTGGTGGCTTACTTTAAAAATAGTATCTTTTTTGATGTTGAAAACAAAATCAGGAAAAAAACTGTGCTCTCACTAATTGCTGTGTGCAGCAGCCTGCAATGGGGCATTGTTTCAGTGTGCATACAGTCTTTTTTTCTAAAATCCCATCACACACACACACAATAGTTTAGGGAAAATACCAGTCCAAGACAATTCAGCCAGATGTGCAGTGCTAACTAGTTGCAGCAGTGCAATAGCATTCAAGTAACAAGATGGAAAATTTAGAATGCAGTCTTTAAAAAGAATCCATTTTTCTCCTCCAAAGTGGATGCCAGTCTAACACTCTGTTGGCATCACTCAAAGAACAGCAATGCTCAGTATTAGCTTTTGATTTTAAAATGATTTTTTATTTTGCTGTTACAAAATCAATCTTTTGTAGAACTTTTCATCAGGAGAAGATATATTTTGTAAAGGAAATATAATAATGTTCTAAATTGTCCCAGCTTTGTGTTTCATGGTAGGAATTAATGAGTACAGAAAATCACTTAGTACTTTTGAATAACTAGATTTACTTGAAAGACGTGATGATAATGTTGCTGTCCAAATGTTAAATCTTGTGGTACTAAGTTATCTCCAGCCACCCTGACATTTTTTTCTGTTGCTCAAAGGCAACTGTGCACACACTGGGAAAAATAGATCAAAAGCTAATAAGGTTTATTTAATTTAATGTGAAATGTTGCACATAGAAAGTTGAATTATATTTGGCTCTATCTAGACTAAGAAAAAAATCTAAGTCAGGCAGAATGATAAAGAAACCAAATCTAATCTGTAATGGCACAGTGTCCATTGGCTTCAATTTTCTCAGAATATGGCTCAAATGAATTTGAGTGTGAGATTTGGAACTAGATGATCTTAAAGTCCTTTCCAACTCTAACTATTCTATGATTCTATGATTTAAACATGTTTAAACAGTTACGGTACCTGGTAATGTCATTGATTTCAGTGGGAGAACAGATAGGCTAACTGGGGTCCTTTCAGCTGAAGCCTGTATATAATAAGGAAAGAGCTTTAACTGAATACTTTACCACTTCCTAATGATTTTTCTGCTGTGTAGTAGGGCTTTAATATCTAGCTCTCTGGCAAGAAAATCTGTGAGTATTCATGTTGATAGTATGATGTTGAAATTAACAATGCATGCTGGTAATGCAAGTTGGGATTATTTTATAATATTGCTGCATCAAAAATGTTTGATAGATGCATGCTCAGGTTACATATGTGAGAAACTCAAACTGCTTACAGAAAAATTGGGACATAGATACTGTATTTTAAAGTACTGTTAATATTGAGAAATGTTAAGGTTCCTTTCTCCCTGTGGAATTAAAACCCAGGGGTTTTTAACTTGGTAAATTTGACTCTGTGTGTTTGTAATCAAGAAGAAACAGAGTACTTTGGAGCAGTGGTAATCAAAGGCCATAATCTCTCATCAACCAAATTGATAACCTTCTATTTGAACATGTTAGAGGGCAGACAAAGTCAAGCCAAGATTGCTGTGCTTATGAGGACATCCAGATACTATCTGACAAATATTTTCCCATTTTGGAAGAAAGTAAGCATAATTACCTTGCAAAACATATATGAAGTTCAGCTAATTGGGATTTTGTATGCAAACTGGAAGCAGATGGCAACTTCCAGCAGTCTATTCCTAGTCAAGACCAGATATTAAAAATAAGGACATTCCTGGTGGTAAAAAGAACCTCAAAATTTGGGCATCATTTTATACTTTAATAAATAAAACACAGTGCCTTGTAGTTCAGAAGTTATTTTTGCATGTCTGTACATATGTATAAAATGTGCACACATTGAAAAAAAAATTACCATCTAACTAGACTCTAAATATTCCTTAAGTGATGGAGAATGTTTTCTTCTGAATGTCAGATGCACATCCTTAGCTATAAATGTTTCTTCCCTGTGTGCTGTGAACCAAA